GCCAGAGGCGTGGAGGCGAGGCGCTGTGCGGAATGCGTGGGCGGGGGAGAAAGGGTGGCGGGAGGCGGCGAGGTGGGGATGGGGGCGCGGGGAGGGGAGGATTTGGGGGAGGAGAGCCATTGGGGAGCGGAGGGATCTTTTCCCCACGGTGGTGAGGAGGGGAACGTGTGGATTTGGGGGAGGTGATTTTTCAGGGGTTTTGTTGTTATGGCCGGGGAAGAAGGGTGTGGGGTCTACGGGCAGAGACAGGGTTAATATGAGTCTTGTGCGGTGTGGTGATGGCGTAGAAGAGAACACGTGGGGGCTTATCCGTCTGGAGGAGCTCGGGCTCGGAGTGGGACACCGCTTTCTTTCCTTTTTTTGTTCATCTTAGTTTTTCTTTTATTTTGAGAGAAAATGCTTTGACATGGTATTTTTTGGTATAGTTAAGTTCGGCCTGCTAAAGACGGCAATGGGCACCCACTACCCACGAATCCTGCGGTAAAAATCCTATTAGAATAAGAGTTTGGAAAAAATAAATATCCATGATCATATGTATATACATATTAGGGTAAGGGTTTGTATTATTTATTATCCACTCCTCACTTTTATAAACATGTACTCATATTTAGCAAGCTCCATATTCTCTTAGCGACAAGTGAGATCAAAAAGCATCTACAGCAGGCGCCTCAAACTCTGTCATGCGTCCGGACGGATGACCTGGTTAGTTACCAGTCAAAAAAACAATTAAAACAGTCACTCCAAACGGGCCTCAAATGTCAAAGCTGATCAACACCCCTCATATTCATCCTAAATATGGGGCAAATATGAGGAGGCCCGAACGCGTCCGCCACGTTCGACTGACGGCACGACCCCCACAAAAAGTGAACCAAATCCCCTTCTGACCTACCCCTTTGCACTTGCTCCTTGGCGCCAGAAGTTTGCTAGCTCCACCGTCACCCTTGCACTGGACTGCACCTTGTCCTCTATGAGTTCGACACATTATGATTCGAAAAGAGCCGGGCAGCCATCAATGTTCTGTTTGTGAATGATATAGACCATGACTTATTAATCTTCTCTATGATAAGCAGAGAAGATTAATAATGACAATCTATATCCTTGGCAAACGGTGCAATGATGACCGAAGCTTATTGCTTCTGGACGACGCGGCTATTTAAGTCGGTCACCTCGCCTTACCCTGCGCGGCGAGGTGAGACTAAACCCTGAAACCCATTGACCCAATACACATGTGAAAATCTTAAGTGCGAGCAATTTATTTGGTGTTTGTAACAGTCCTACCGGCCCAACACGGACTAAAGATCCAAAAAGATCGACGTATATGTGTTTGCATGCATTAGGTGTTTTGGAAATAGGGTTTGTAGTTATAAATGGCGAAATTTAAGGCCCACCCGATCACTGTTCGCAGGAGCATACGTGGACGTTTGAGGGCCCAAATTTGCTGGTTGTGGCTGTAGATGTTCTAAGCTTGGGGGAGCTGATATGTTCATTTTGCATCACTGTTTTTATTATACTTTTTTTCTTTATAGTCGATATTTTGCACATTATAGCTTGATTATAATGCCTTTTCCCCTTCAATTTGCATGAACTACACGGAGAAGGGAATTAGCACAAAGATGAAAACCATGAGCAAAATAATGGCAATGAACAAAGGAATTTTCTGGAGCTCAATAAATTGCCAAAAAAATTACAAGAAAAACTTTAGGAGAAAATACACAATTAGCCGCATGGGGGCCCACATGCACCGCCTCCCGACGTGACAACCCTTGATCTTAGTTTTTCTTTAATTTTGAGAAAATGCTTTGACATGTTTTCTTTGGCACAATTAAATTCGGCCGGCTAAAGATGGCAATGGGGTAAAAACCGTATTAGGATAAGAGCTTGGGAAAAATAAATATCCACGATCATATTTACCTACTAGGGTAAGGGTTTGTATTATTTATTATCCACTCTTCACTTCATAAACATGTGGTCATATTTGGCAAGTTCGGTATTCTCTTAGCGACAAGTGACGTCTAAGAGCATCTACAATCAGGCGCCTCAAACTCTCCCATCCGCCTGGGCGGATGCCCTGGACAGTGAGCGATAAAAAAAGCCACGTCCGGCTAATGGCACGCCCCCACAAAAAGTGAACCAAATCCTCTTCTAACCTACTCCTTTTCACTTGCTTCTCCGCGCAGGACGTCTACTATCTCCGTCGTTACCCTTGCACTAGACTGCACCTTGCCCTCTGTGTGTTTAACACGTTGTGATTTAAAAAGAGCCGACAACCATCAATGTTTCATGTGTTAAGGATATAGACCATGACTATTAATCTTCTCTATGATAAGGAGAGAAGATTAATAGTGAGAGTCTATATCATTTGCAAACGGTGCAATGATGATTGAAGCTTATTTCTTTTGGATGATGTTGTTATTTAAGCTGGTCACCTTGCCTCGCGCGGCGAGATGGGACTAAACTCTGAAACTCGCCGACCCAATACGGATGTGAAAATCTTAAGTACGAGTAATTTATTTGGTGTTTGTAACAGCCACACCAGCCTAACAGGGACTACACATTCAAAATGATCGACATGCATGTGTTTGCATGTATTAGGTGTTTTGGAAATAGGGTTTGTAGTTGTAAATGGCAAAATTTGAGGCCCTCTCAGTCACTGTCCGCGGACGTTTGAGGACCCATTCGTAGGTTGCGGCTATAGATGTTCTAAGCCTGGGGGAGCTGATATGTTCATTTGCAACATTGTTTTTCATTATAATTTTTCTTTATAGTTGATATTATCCACATTATAACTCAATTATACTTCCTTTTCCCTTCAATTTGCATGCGCTACACGGAGAAGGGAATTAGCACAGAGATGAAAAACATGAGCAAAATAATGGTAGTGAACAAAGGAATCTTCCGGAGCTCAATAAATTGCCAAAAAAATACAAAAAAAAACTTTAGGAGAAAAGATACACTTAGTCGTGTGGGACCCACATGCACCGCCTCCCGACGTGACGCCCTCTGCACTATATTTTCAATCCCCTTGAAAAACTCTAAGGGGGTTTTGTTGGAAATATGCCCTAGAGCCAATAATATTTGTATTATTATATTTTCATATTCATAATTAAAGAGTTTATATTCTATGTTATAACTGCTATGATCCTGGAATATGCGATTTAGTGGAAAACTCATATACACGTCTGCAATGATAAATGGTTAAATAAAAGGTTCCTATTCTTGCCTCTGGGACTAGCTCAAGTGTTGTTTGTGATCACGTTTTCCAGATCTTAGTATATCGTTAAGTGTAACGATAGTCCTAAAACAACATTGAGATTATGAAGTGTTGTTTGTGATCGCGTTTTCCAGATCTTAGTATATCGTTAAGTGTAACGATAGTCCTAAAACAACATTGAGATTATGAAGTTAGAAGAACCATCATATTGGATCGATCCAAACTTGTTCGTTATGAATTGAGTTAATATCTTTTGTATTCAATTATAATAACATGGAGTGTTAATGTTGATTTTGCTCCTTAGACCATGAGAGTATCATAGTCACTTCTTATCGTACGGTGGATTTTGGTATTACTCAAACGTCACCCGTAACATGTTGATCATAATGACAACTTGCAGGCTCATCGGAAAGTTTGACAAGGGACTAGATAGCTCGAGAGTGGGGTTTGATCTTCCAAGGACAAAGAGATATTCTTAAGGCCCTCTCGGTGTGACGGCATACAACATCATATTGGCCAGATACAGGTCACTTCGTCATAGGGATGCCAGAACACAATAACGAGAAAGAAGAACAAAACCGGTAACGAGGATAACGGTATAGTGAGCATGTGATGACTTAGGAGGATACCGGTGAATCCCGGGTTTTGTGAGGTATCGCGAAGCAAAGGGAACATCACATGATAACCAAAGGTTCAGTCGAGTATCATTCGTGTGCACATAGGGATCAATATGGATGTCCACGGTTCCACTATCGGTCATTGAACGAAGGGGTTTCGTTCATGTCTATGAGTTGCGGAATCTACGGGGTCACAAGATTAAGGCAATCATGATCTGCTGAGTGTTAGTGCGACGGGAGTGATGAGAATATATTCATGCTGTTTCATTAATATTTAGAATAGTTTTGAGAGGATCCGGAATCGTTTCGGGGTCACTGAAAGGGTTTCAGAGAGTATCGGGTAATACCAGGTATTACTGATAATTAATATATATGTGGAAAATGTTTGCAGGGATGTTGAATTATATATAAAAGGGTCTGAAAATATTTAGAACACTTTTATTTTTAATTTAATATCAACAGGCCTAAAAAGGTGGTGGAAGGCAACTTGGGTGTAACACCCCGGATGTAACTTTCCCTATTTGTACTCCAACTCTTGCCGTTTCCGGCGTTAAGTTATATTTATTATCTCGGGTTCGGGTTTTTGTCTCCGTGTGTTGTTGTCGTTGTCATGCATCTCATATCATGTCATCATGTGTATTGCATTTGCATACGTGTTCGTCTCTTGCATTCGAGCATTTTCCCCGTTGTCCGTTTTGCATTCCGGTGCTTCGTTCTCCTCCGGTGGCCATTTCTAACTTTCTTTCGTGTGTGGGGATTAAACATTTCCGGATTGGACCGAGACTTGCCAAGCGGCCTTGGTTTACTACCGGTAGACCGCCTGTCAAGTTTCGTATCATTTGGACTTCGTTTGATACTCCAACTGTTAACCGAGGGACCGAAAAGGCCTCGTGTGTGTTGCAGCCCAACACCCCTCCAATTTGGCCCAAAACCCACCAAACTCTGCTCCATCATCTAGAGAGTTCGATCACGATCGCGTGGCCGAAAACCTCACCTCATTTGGACTCTCCTAGCTCCCTCTATGCCTATTTAAACACCCCCCGATTTTCGGATCTCCTCCTACCTCCGAAACCCTAATTTTCCACCACGCGCCGCGGGACATTGTCTGCCCGGGGCAGATACACCGCCGCCAGCCAACCGCCTCCTGCCACGTGGCACCCGCCACCTCGCCGCTGCCGCGGCCCGGGGAGCCCAGAGCCGGCCCCCGCGGCCCGAGCCGCCGCGCCGCCACCTCCCTCTCCTCCGAGCCG